CATGCGAGATGCAGGCATACCACGCATTTTCTACTTCCTTATTTTAATACAGAAAGTTAAAAAACATATATCCATTCATTCCAGGCATGTGTAGTTGTCATATAACATAACCAGAAAACAGCTGTAAAGTTGAATTTAGTACACAAAAGTGGAAACCCTTTTTCTCCAATGGTAGGTCAGGTGATATCTTGAGATTACAATCTCCCTTATTTTCGTATGTGAATGGCAACTGGGTAGCACTTTTCTCCCTGTAAAGGTATGACACAATGTATCTAAAGCATATAATGGGATGGTTTCTCGGATTGGAACAGCTATTCCATGGAATTATGGATTGATATTGAGCTTTTGATTAAGATTTGAATTTTTCAACAAAATATATAGCTTCAACATATCTTGGAGATTCAGATATAATAAATAATCACTCTATAGTAAAGTCGATCGTATTTCGTGTTGAAATAATGCACACATTGTAGTTTGTGTTATTAAAAAAAATTGTTTTCATTGTGTGTTTATCTTTGTGTGTAACCCCCTTCTTTGCACAAACTCAGTTAGTTTCAGAAAAATTTAGAATATATTTTGCTGAACTATCCATTGTATAGAAGGCCTACCTGATTCGCTCTTTAGGGAAACAAATTTTACCGAAAATACCACACTTACTCGCAATGTTGAGTAATAAGTTTATTGTAAACATGTTGCAAGGACAAGTGAATGAAATATTTTTTTTTACCTTACATAAATGAATATGTATTGATGCTGGCTTCATTTTATTAACATGTTTTAATATAACAGCAACTGATGGTTCGATTTCCATCATATACAGGGGTTACAATTATTTATCAGTGGTTTTTAACTTGTTTCACCATCAATGACTGACTCCTGAGTCTAACTCACTCCTTCTAATGTGTTTATATAATATTCGTTTTCTCTGCACTTTCTGGAGATTCGAGACGCCAGGTGAGCTCTATTTTTTTTATGAAACTTTTAGATGTTATGCTAAAAATTAGGTATAACATGACCTAATGGTTAGGTATCTCGACTCGCAAAGTGCGGTTCGCGGATTCGAATCCTCTTAGGAAACATCCTCACCCTTTCAGCCATGGGGGCAATATAATGCGACGATCAATCCAACATTTCGTTGGTAAAGAAAATCCTATCAGTTCTAAAATAGTGACTGTTAGCGCAGATAGTCATAGAGTAACTTCGCAGGAAATTCAACAAACAAGCAAACAGTTATACCAAAAACGACCTCTAGTAACAATAACAAATATACATATTAAAATGCCAGAATCATGGACTATAAAATTTCTGTTGTAAGTTATACTTTCAAAGTTTTAATTTAAATGGTTCCTAAAGTGTGTATTTGGCAGTCTGAGAGAACTCTACTAAGTGGACACGAGGGATCACAAACAGCAAAAAAGTGTTCTCTGACACTCCGAGTATTTGGTTATAAAAGACATTTAATTTCAGGTTAAACTGAATAACTTATTTGTATATATACATATTCTTAATTTTTGAGGTGTCGTAACTCATCTCCAGTTTTAGATGCGGGAGCATCTCTTTGAGGCACTCTGGTCATACTACACCCTTGGGCATTTCCCAACTGTTAGTCCAACTTACCAATTGATTCAAACCGTTTTGTAATACTGTTATGATTGAAATGGTCATGAATATCACCTTTCATAACTACTTTATTAACTAGTATAAAATATATATATGTTTATTCAGGTATATTCTAACAATATTTTTTTAAATCTCCATGCAATTTTTGCTTGTAATTAATCATTTTCTTGTTAAAGGAATGTAGAAAGGTCGTAAACATCTACTAATCCACTTTCTAAGGTAAAATTGCTTACGCCAACGGTTTGAAATTCGTATCATTCAGACTCATCAAATACTTGTACAAAGTGTCCTGAATTATGAATTTTTATCCATGTAAATGTTGTTTGGAATAGTCAGCGGTGGGTTCTGGCATTAAAAATCTTAAGGTTTTGTCTGAATTTCGGTGGTAAGTTAGACTCTATCTTTTTTTTTTAACTTCCAGTGCAGACAATTTAAAGAAAGTCTCCTTTGCAATCCCAGTAGCCAGTTAAAAGACAACAGAACTAGAGTTAGGCTAGTAAGTGGAATAAATGTTGGTGAATAAAGATTTTATTGATTTGTTCACTTGTGTTTCTTTCATTTGCTATACGAGTTTGATTTATTCTCTGTTTTTAACTGTATTGATGGATACTTTGAAGCTTTTCTCCTTGACATCACAATTTCCTCAAAATTCTTAAAATAGCTAAAAATAACCAAGAGTTTAAAGCCATTAGCAAGTAACTTTATTAATTTATTATTATATTCTTATTTATATCATTAATGTAAATAAGAAAGAAGGTCCAAGCACTGACCCCTGAAGTACTCTACTAGTAACAAGAGTCAAGTTTGTCTGGACCTCATTAAAAGAAATCTTTTGCTTCGATTCAAGTCTTATATTAATTAAGATGAGCTTATATAATTACACTTAAACAGTCAAATGTTGACAAAAGTTAAACGATTATTTGTTTGTTTGTTATGGATTTCGCGCAAAGCTACACGAGGGCTATATGCT